AGGGCGAGACATCTGGTATGCAATACCATTGAAACTTCCACCTCATATCTCGTGATGTCTACGGTATCCTGTAAATGCTTAACAACAAGTAAGCCTTGAGCACGTTCTTAGATTTGGAACAGTATAAAAATTGCAACACAGCATTCCTCATGAATATTATAAGTTTTTTCTTTGTCTCAAAAAAGAATGCACCTACCACAGTACTCTCTACACAGCACTTGGTTGCTTGATAGAGAATGTCTTAGGGGTTAGATCTCCCACTGTACTTTTGTGCATAAAGTTGAATAAAATAAATAAATGCCTACATATCGTCTTTTCGCATTAAAAGTATACAATTTCCAAAAATAATCGAAATTGAGTTAATATGCGGAATCATTTGGTATCACCAGTATTTGTCTCATAAATATTGTCAAAAGAGCGTAGTTTAGTTTTAGTTTTTTTTTTTAGTTTACCTATATTTTGACTACTATTAACAAAATTAATACATAATTTATCTTACTTTAAAAGACAGATAATGTAACTGGTAAATAATGAAAAACAAATGCTGCAAAGATGATTAATATTAAAAATATCTCATGTTAAAACACTCTGCTGTAAAATTAGTAAGTTTTGAGATTATACAGTTTTAATGCGAACAGACGGTATGTACATTCACAGTGTGAGGTTTTAAAATATTTTCAAAAGTATTTTGAAATCATTAATGGTCTTGAAGCAAGATCACGTTTCGGCAGTATCGCGCGAATTGACGTTTAATTTTATAAAGTCTGGCGCGTCCTCTCCGAGATGACCTCCGCACTCTCCATCATCTTATTACCCTCTCCCATTATTGCGTTACTAATTTTCCTGAACATCGAGGAGCTAACGAAGTTTCTCGGATCGTAAAGGGAGCGTTTTGATTGTCAATTACTGGCTCTTGGACGGCAAAGGGTACCGGCTCGCTCAAAGCACTGCCTAGGATGCAATTAGCGTGTGGGTGAAACTTTACTTTGTGAACGAACGCGACTTGTTCGGCTTCTATTTCGTACAGCGATACGCCGAAACAATTATTCGGAAGACTATTACCTAAAATGCGTTAAAGACAATTTCACCAATTTATTCAACAGAACATTCAAAAGAATATTAGAAAGACGCAGCCAAGATATAGACCGAGACCTATAATTTAAGGTCCTAGAGTACAGAGTACATAGTTACGAACTATGAAAATAAGAAGAGTACTCTGCTTTCCAATGTCAGCGTGACATTTATTTTTAATCTATTATTTTTCATTTTTAGAGATTTTTTATTTCTTGCATTTGTACGCTTATTTATTTTGTATAATTATTTTTAATATGTCCGACGAAAGTAAATCTAACGATGAAGACGTGGTCGAAACAGAAACAATTTTTGTGGGCGAACCAAAAAGTTCAAGTGAAGATCCTCCGATGAGTGAATGGTCATCCCTGGTAATAGTTGTTCCGGAGGAAAACAAAAAAAGGCTATTACATTCAAAAGGTCTATACTCTGCTGGGAGCGGTGAACTATGTGGAAAGTATATTTGCTTGTCCGACAGTGTTGTACCTATTCACCCTTATTACAATTATCCGGCTGTCAGTGATCCAGGTCTCATCGAAGCTATATTAGTACCCGAAAAGCCTGTAATTTATGCTGACGATGGCTACGATCTCTATATGGCGCTGTGTCAAGAAATGAATTTGTGTCCAGTCGGTCTATTCTACCGAAATTTAGATAATGAAGAAATCACTATTAGTTATTATGGGTTGAATCCATCAGGTGTGCGACCAATGGCAATGGCCTTGCAATATAACAAATCCGTCAAACGGTTCGACCTCACAGACAATTTTCTGAACGATGATGCCTCTTATCATTTAGGACAAATGTTGAATTCTAACACCACATTAGAGGAGTTAACTTTAGTTGGTTGTCGAATAGGTGCATCAGGAATGTTTCAGTTGGGTGCGGGCTTGACTGTAAATCAGACATTAATCAAATTGAATATATCAAGGAACAACATCGGTGAAGAAGGAGGGATACATTTGGCAAATCAACTACTTAATGGCGCTGTAGTACGTTGTGTTAATTTAAGTAATAACCAATTGGGTAGACAGGCTGCACTAGCGCTTGCAGAGGCTTTTAATTTTAGTAATAAACTGACTCATCTTGATTTATCATGGAACAATTTCTTCCACACACCTTCCACGGTGAAAATGTTGGATGCGCTGTCACAAAGTACAGTTTTAGAAGAATTGAATCTGGGACGCAATTCTCTGGAAGGGGAACGCATTGCTGATTCCATCCAGAAAATCATCCTAATTCCTACACTCAAAACATTGGATTTGAGCAATAATAGATTTCAAGGAGAAGCAATATGTTCCATTTCATCGAACTTATACAGAGCCAAGAAACTGACAACTTTAAATTTATCTCAAAATCCACTCGCCCCAGAAGACGCACTACTCGTTTTGGAGAAGATGTTAAAACCAAGGGTCAAAATAGAAAATTTGTTACTTGAAAATATAAATGTCAATAAACAGTTCATGTCGTGTTTGTCGAGAGTGATGAAAATGAAATCTCGTAAAAATTTCACAGTGAAATATGGGATAGTTTTACAAAACTGGTCGGTGGTTGGGCCCGATGCACGAGAACTGGTCTTACTAAGAGCTGATTATCTTGGAAAAATCAACAAAAGACATAAAAAAGACGTCGCTTTATTCTTTTTACAATTAAACAAGGAGTTTTCTAAGCCTGTTCCTGTCAAGGATATAACCGACCGCATCGCAGATGAGAAAATACCCATAGACGAGGGTCTGATCTCAGAGTTATCAGTCCTATTTCCTGGAGGAAAATCTGCAAAGACAAAATGTGTAAACATGCAATTGGTCTGTGACTATTTGCAGCGATTGTGGCCCGAGAGGAAACTACCACCTACCCCACCGGTAGAACCTGAACCGGATCCAGAACCCGAACCCTTACCACCTGTTCCAGTGCCAAAAGGAAAAAACAAGAAAAAGCCATAACATTTACGGAATTTTGATAGAATTTATTTCATTGTATTTGGATGCATTTACGCTTTTGTTAAGTTTTATATTTTAAATATTTGTGATTTCCAGTATTAATTTATTTCACTTTATCTTGAAGCCCATAAACTACCTTCATAAAGTATTATGAATAGTAATCCAGACACAGCATCTCAGAACTGTAAAGCGGATCTCATTTGATTCATTTCCGGTTGCTCTCTCAACTGAACGTTGACCGCGCCTCGAGCCACTTATTTCCGTTTTCACAAACGGCTTTCGCTAAACTCTAGGCTTTTATTGTTATATCACAAACAAACTTCACAAAATAATAAATAATCTGTTTTGCATAACACCATCCCTAACCTGTTTTCATTTGATACCAAGATAAAAAATACTTTGAAAACATTAGATTAGCAGGATATTAGAATCCCAGTGTCATTGAGCCACTATTATTTCCCTATTGCTCTTGCTGCCTTTTTTTGTAGTTAAGCAGTCTCGTACGGGACAAGAAAGTTACTATTTCAATTTTAACCTAGCAATGACAGCTTTCACACTAACGCTGAGCTCAAGAAATGCAGATTAAATTTCAACTATCAATCGTAATAACCGTGGATTCGAATTAGAACAAGAACTCCGACCAGCCGATTTAGTTAACATGTGTACTAGGGGTCCATAACTGTGTAGAACATTCAATTAAAGCGTGCTTGGTGTAAGCGTAGTGCAAGGCACTTGAGAAGCCTCGTGAGGCACAAGGCGTACGGTTGTTAACCGCCTATTATGCGTCGAGTGCTCTACACCTGAGCCTAGGGCGCAATCACGGCTCTGCTGAACGTTCTCTTGAATTTAGGCTTCATTCTTCGTGTTGCGTCTTATTGCTTTCTCTGTACGGAAGAGTATGATCAAAATACCATAGATATGGTTAGGTAATACGATCGGTAGATTTAAAAAAAATAGGCTTATGATGATTTCGATATTTCTAGTCACTGTATCATAGAGAATGTTAGTTTTAGTTTCAGACACCGATACTTATGTAAGAATTTTTTTTTATTGCTTAGAAGGGTGGACGAGCTCACAGCCCACCTGGTGTTAAGTGGTTACTGGAGCCCATATACATCTGTAACGTAAATGCGCCACTCACCTTGAGATATAAGTTCTAAGGTCTCAAGTATAGTTACAACGGCTTCCCTTCAAACCGAAACGCATTACTGCTTCACAGCAGAAATAGGCAGGATGGCGGTACCTATCCGCGCGGACTCTCGAGAGGTCCTACCACCAGTAATTACGAAAATTATAATTTTGCGGGTTTGATTTTTATTACACGATGTTATTCCTTCACCGGGGAAGTCAATCGTGAACATTTGTTAAATACGTATTTCATTAGAAAATTTGGTACCCGCCTGAGATTCGAATGCACCGGACGTCTCTTTAGGCCACGACGACTTCAAAATGATGATTCTTGAGTCATACGATAAAAATAACATCGTTACGCATTTTTGAAAGAGACTTTTCTTTTTTTTTAAATTCCATTAATAATGAAATTGAAATAGAGAATATGTATTTGTAAACTGGAAAAAGAAACCGTGTGAGTAGATTTTGATACTGATTAACTTTGATTTAATGTTTCGTTGGCGGCCTTCCATATGATTTTCTTCTCTTAGATTGGTGGACGAGCTTTTATTAAGTGGTAACCGAAGCCCATAGACACGAACGACTTAAGTACCACAACCTACCTTGAGACATGAGTTTCAAAATTCCGTTTTTATAGTACAACGACTGTCCCACCCTTCAAACCGAAACGCATCACTGCTTCACGGCAGAAATAGGCAGGGTGGTGGTATTAACCCGTGCGTGCTCACAAATCGCCCTACCACCAGTAAGCTCACAAAATGGTCTTCTACCACCAGAAAATTAGCCCATTTGGAACATAAATTGTGAAAAAAAGGGTAAGTAAAAAAAAATTGTGAATGATAAATGTTTTCTACTTACCCCCTCCATTCTTATAGCAGAGGTAGGGGAAGCGCCACACGTTGGCGAGGTCGACGGCGAACCCGATGACCGAGAGCAGGAAGTCGACCTTCTTGCCCCAGGTCTCGCGTTCGCCGACAACACCCGGCGTCGGGGTCTTCAGCGCCATGTTACTGGCCAACGACACGAGGCCGCCACACCCTGATAATTACAGGAAATTAGAATAGAAGAAAAGACTAGAATAGAAAAATAGGTAACTAAAAAATCAATAGAAGAAAAAAAAATTATGACATTTTCTGAACGTGAAGGGAACCAACATTCTATTTGGCTATAATAATAAATCTGAAATAAAAATAGTGTAAGAAAATATGATTTTATTGTAAAAAAGCGTGGGGTGCTTTTCAGAATATTATCAAAATAACCCTTCTACAATATCTGTTCATAAAATATTTATAACTACTGATACCATGCACCCCACGTTTTTTTTACAATAAAATAATTTTTTCTTGCACTATTTCTAATTCAAATTTATTAAAATTTATTATTTCTTTTTTAGTAGAATTTTCTATAAAAGCGTATTTTTTTGTTTTTTTAAACTATTCTTTATTTTTCATTATTTAGTTGAATTTAAATTTTTTCAATATATTTTTTTTAATTATTGAATTGCTATTGGTCCTTATTAAGTGTGCCAAACTTCAAGTTAATCCGACGTTTTGAAGGGGGTCAAAATCATGTTCAAAGATTCCGTTACATACATACTAACATACATACGTCTGAAGCTAATAAAAACGTATTAAAATTAGAGACATGGATTGTTTTGCACACTTGACAATACACGAAATATAACAAACCTTTCACAACTATCTCTTCTTTGAATGGTAATTTGAAATCGATTCTTGGCGGGTATCCTTAATTAAATATTTGTAAATACGCAAAGGACCTGTCCCACGTGCTAATGATTCCGTGAGCCCATAGACATCTGTGTGCATACCTTTGCACACCTTGACACATTAGGTGGTGTTTGCATTGCATTGCGTTTTCTCGCCCTCCCACGATTTTTCACTCATCATACGAGAATATATTTCGAAGAGAACGAAAATAATTAAAATTCACAAACGGTATCGCTTAATCTTCAACAAGAGTAATCATGGGCTGTGAAATCGTGAATCTGAAGTAGGTATGTTCCGAGACCAAAACTCCACGCTTAATGAAATGACAAAAGTTCGCACATCTGATAACGGACACTCTTGAACTGACAACCAGGATTTTCACGATAGGGTTGGCACTGGTCCTATTTTATGTTTGCAGTATTTGATTTTTAATCTATTTTTTTTAATATTATAATTATTGTGAATCACAGCCACTTTCTGATTTCAAAAGAAATAATTTTGTACAATTCGGATCTATACTATGTTGATCACCTATCCCTAATGCTAGTAAAGATTCAAGTTATGAGGTATTCAGTTTTTTTTAATACTATTATCCTTAAAAAGGTGTGATAATTATCATTAGCTTTATTTATTTTTCTTTAAGAGTTTTCTTAAAATAAGATATAATTTTCTTAAAAGATCTATAGAGAAATCTATTGATTAGTTATTAATATTAAGATTCACATTTAATAACGTCTAAAAATAGCGTAAGCGGCCCTGAGTCACCCCTACACGTCGGACGTTGAATGTTCTTGGAGTGGGTGTCATGTTCAGCGGCCAGTGATTTCATGCGAAAAATCTCCATGTCAACGCGCAGACACCACTAGTCAACAAATTGGATTATCGAGTACATATGAATATCGTAGTTGGTTTTAGAAAATTTTGTTTTATTCTCAAAGAGAATATATTTATTTATGATGCGTGAAAATAAAAGTAACGTATCTATGTATGTAAAAGGAACATAAAATATGTTTCATTTTAGAGAAAAAATCAGTCGTCAATTTGTGTTCAATCCGGACGTTCCTTCTTCGAGGAAGTCGTTCCTGAACATATTTAAGGTAAGTATTTCCTTAAAAAAATGGTTCTAGTGCTTTAAATTTGGAAACTACAGCAATATTACCTTGATCCCGTATAAATCAATCTATATTGCACAATATTGATTCTTTCAGATCGTTGTGCAAAGGCAAAATCTTTCAGAATAATCCATCTTTCTCGATGTAAGCGAAATGGAGTGAACAAATCTTGAAATTTAGGTTTAAAATACGCCATTTCCAATAACAACATGCATTGTCGACTACAAGTAAGAGGCTGTATTATATTTTGAGATAAAAACGCGTACGTTCGCACATGAATCTGCTTTGATTTGTGACACTGATATATCACCAAGAACCTTACCTGTGCCTCATTGTATAGTTAGTTACATGCATACATCTAAAACCTCAAAGTCTTAGTTTAGCCTTTCTTAGTTTAATCTTATCTTATCTTAGTTTAGTCTTAGTTTAGCCATTTTCGTTAAATTTTCCAATAATGTTTTCTTGGTCCAAGAAAGTGACAAGGTTGAAAATGTTGCGAACTGAGTTTTGGGTTCCTCGTAGCCTAAAGGATAAGGATCCGTGTCTGCTTGTATCCAACGATGCGAGTGTGGCGGTGTTCAAATCCCATAGGCAGTTTTTTTTTCTATAAGTCAACATGTTCATAATACGTGCTCATGAAGGTATTGGTCCTGCTAGGGTTAGTGCTAGCAACTCCTCTCGGGTCGGGTCTGGTGACCTCACCTACCAATCCGCGCGTGGTTGGAATAACCCCTTAGGCTACCAAGGATTAGGTAAGAAAAAATGAACTGCTTTTACCCACTATTCCCGCGTTTCTTTGCTCTTTGTCTGGGTGTTTATTACGTATACATAATATATACAGATATAATACTTGAACTTACGTATGGACGTCAGTCTTGTCATTATACAGGGAATCTCAATTTGGGACCAGGTGACCAAATCAGTAATCAATCCATTATTTTTAATTAAATAATATTTCCGATGTACTCAATTAATTACTGTACTTTTTTTCCTACCTATTCTAGTAACCTCGAGGGGTTATTCTAGATTCGCCGAGCTTGTAGGTGAGCTCACGGGGCTTAAACCTGACGACGTCGATAACACGAACCACAGCAGTCGTGCTTCGCAGAATCTACCACCGGATCGGAAACGCGACCCACTGAGAAGAACCGGCGAGAAACTCAGTGGGCTGTGTCTGTAAGTTAATTTACCCGTCGAGCCCTTCGTCGCAAGCGACGGGTTCGATGAGAACGATGACCGGTGCTTGAGGTAATTAAAAGCACCGTTAGTGGATTGGGAGGATCCGAAATGACGTGTATTGTATAGGTACTATTATATCGTGTATTCCAAATTTTGGGTTCAGTACAAATTTTTGTAACTGAATTCGTTCCTGGTTTTTTTTTTTTTTTTGTTGGTTGGTAGTACATCTTCTTTTTTACTGAATACATTCCTTGTTTTTCTCTTTCTTTGTTGATTGGTGGTCGAATCTACCATCTGATGTTCGCGATGAGGGGATTTGTCGGACACCAACTCCCCAAAAATCGCCCGAACATACGAGCCCCCTATTTTTCTGGGTCGGGAGCCGAACATCCTACGAGGTCCCTGAGCCTAGGGGGCGCACGTGGTAGTGGGACTGGACGATCCACAGATTTTAGGAGAAGACCGCGGGCCCAAGTACGGTATTTAGGGTCCTACCTACTTAACGGCTTCCTAGCACTCTAGCTCAAGCGTCTGATTTCTCCCAAGGTACCTGAAACCGAGCGGGGTAAGGGGGTTACCGCGGTCAACACTGCAACCAGACACGCGGATCACCTCAAGGACGCTCGGCCGACGGAACCTTCGAGGCGACCAACCGAAATAAGTTCCTAACCCAGCTTAACAACTTCCACGATGAATAAATATAATTATGTAATAAAACTAGTCCACAAATTTCATAGCATACTTGCCGTATCACTATTAAGCATATTTTTCAAGCGATTCGAGTCGTATTGAGATTTCAAACTTGGAATTTGAAGAATAGGCATTGAAAAATTACATCACTATCTCTCTAAATGTTCCTAAATAAGCCACGTAAACGAGAAATGGAGTGTGGACTGAAAACCCTACGTAAAACTTCTAAGTTGACTTTTCGCATTCCTTTGATATTATCCCTCAAACTTCTTGATTCAACGTCTCTAAACTTGTTTTTTTTTGTATTTTGTAATAGACACTTGAAACGTACATAATGCCGATTACCCGGTTATAATAAAAGTTCTTTATAGCTTAATAAAATTAGCACAGGGTACTTACTTGCGGGTCGGCGGGCGGAGATGCGGCGCCATGTCCGCGCGGCGCGGTGCCCGAGAGCGAGTGTCGTGTCGCGGTGTCTTTCCTCAGCCGAGAGGGCGGCCCTCGACTTCAGGCCACTCCCAGCAAGATATGCGCATTAACAAAAAGTTCTCCGAGAACATTCTAGACTTCCACTCAGCTAGCTATGTGTAGTAGCTTCATGCAATATAAAAATCAATAAGATGGGAATGGTCTTTCATTTTTTTTTTTTAATTACTTACGTTTGAGTGTACGTTTAAGCATAACGGTTATCGACATTGCTTAACTAGTTTAAGCTTTAAACTAGCTAACTAGCTAGCTCAATTGGCGACCACTGTATGACTATCATATTTTATGAGTTAGAACATATCCAACACGTATTTTAGTGTGACAATATATAAAAAAATTCACATTTTTTTAACCTATTTAACAAGAATTTCAAATTAACACGGCAAGAGGATAAGCAAGGTTATCGTTTTAGGATATTTTATAGATCACGTGCTCTTCGACGTCACTGAAGACTAATGATCCCACGCGTCCGATAATTTTTAAATTGTTTTCCGTTATAGGTAAATTCAAATGGGCAAATGTACTAGTTACCATTGTCATTTTGTATAGTGCCTACTATATTTTAAGAAATTGAAAATAACAACAATTTGATGTGATGAACTATTATTGGGTTGCATCATTCGCGTAAGCTTCTTCCGTTGCTGCAAAATGGAAACCACTTAACAAAGTTAATCGGTATGTAACCAGGGACGTCTTAAATCAGGCTGGGGCCCTTAGGCACACAAGAATTTGAGGCCCTTTTGGAAAGTAAAAAAAGCGAATTATAATAACATTTTTTTACTGAGTATGACCATTTATTATAGGTAATCAAATATAGTATGATATAATGCTTCATTAATGATATTAGAATGCTGCTGGTTTTTTGGTTACGATTACGATAACGGAAACCGTTATCATGATCGCTAGATGGTGTACTTAGTAAATTAGGTAGGGATGCGTTCGGAAATATTATTAATTAGTACAGTTGAAATAGGCGCAGTCATCGATATAATGGCGTATGCCTTGTGAAAAAAGTGTAATGTGCCCAACAAAAATGTTTTGAGAATAAATGTGTGAGAGAAATAGTCGGTCTTTCGGGGCTCCTTGAGAATGGGGGCCCCGGGCACGGGCCCCGTGTGCCCGCCCTTATGGTAAAGACGGTATTGTATGTAACATCACTTGTTTCCACGTAGAGTGAAGAGTGTATATATCGTCATTTAAAACAATAAATACGTATTTTTATTCTCAGTCTTTGTGTGTAATTTCACAGTTACCGAATCTCAACTTATTAAGGTATTAGAAAACGTAGTGATGACCTCCGAATACTCCGGGTAAAAACGATATGTGTAGTTTGGTGATAAGTGTTATAATGTTACTGGTAACCACCACTAACATTATAACAAGCTATTCTATTCTATATTGCACTATTCTACGCAAAGTAATTGTGTAGGTACCTATTCAGGTCTGAAGCGCAGCATAAATGTCATACAATATAATTGATTTTTTTTTATATTAGATCATGACTCAACTATATTAGTCGCATTAAAGTTGTTGAATTTCAGTGGCTTTTTGTATCATACACTTATAAATTAAATATTGTTGCATTGAAATTGTAAGAGCTCACCAGAGCTGGTCCACCCACTCTTTTAAGTTCAATTTGCTCTTTAAGTCTTATAAAGAGCGTTTTGAAAAGTTAAATATGAAACAGTGCTTAAAAAGCGCAGTACATTTAAAATATTATTAATTATTATTAAATAATACCTATCTACAGACTGATGTGATGTCAATAAGCAAGCGAAAGACAGGGTCAAATGGAAATAACTTGTGAGGGCCCTATGTATCAGTGGGGTATCCTAGGACTACAACAACAACAATATCTATGGACTCCACTTTCTACTCAATGGAAAGAACCATAACGTAATGAAACCTACTACTGTCATCGAATACTGGATGCACGACGAATTGACTGACGAGGAATCAGCAGCAACAAGGTGGACAGAATTGCGACCCGTTCATCATGATCATCGTCTGCCCATAGTGGAAGACTGCTGGACACATGCCTCTCCGGTTCTTCTCGTCCATTTCTTGCCACATACCCAGTGATCCGTTACTATCCTACAGTTATTAGATGAACTAACTATTGACCTCTAAGAACCTCTGCTCCTAACTTGAAACAAGAACCAATTTCAAAAATCCCAGTCTGTGACTAAATGATTCTTTAAAGTAATTATTTCGTACTCGCAATAAATAATAAGATAAGTACATTACTTGGATAAATCGATGGTACTGGGCGTATCGCGGCGCGGTGGGAGGAGCAAGCCACGCCTCCCTGTCACCTCGCGAAGTGGCGCACTTACTAAAGTGCTGACGTAACCAGGTCTCGTATTTAACCGACTTCGAAGAAGAAATGGTTTGATGGACTGACTTCGTTTGAGGAAGCGTTTTGAGTCCAAGCCTTGTGGTCTGTATACATCATTATCCGTCAATTTCAATGCATTTGAGATTTCGACTTCATAGCCTAACAGAATCGCAAAATATCACTCACTTGCTGCAATACGTCCTTTTCTAATTTAGAAACGATCTAGCAGTACTTGGCCTCATCGGTGAGTTTCTGCGACTCAAGTATTGCGTCAGCTTACACAAACCTATAATCTTGGTATATCACACCAAAATTCCGGTATTGTTGGGAAACTGTAATAGGTAACTGCTACTAATAGCTGGAGTCATCGTGCGGTCCTCTCGTAGAAACTCCGTCTGTAGCCATCTTCGGTAATTCTTCTCCGTTGCCTTGTTTTGTTACGTACTCAAAGAGTCACCAATGTGCCAGTCGTGGCAATGTTGTCATATCAAGTCGAGCAATTCGTAATCTTATTGTCATTAAGGAGGAATAGATCCATGACGCGACGTGCTATTGATACTGAGGTTATTAGACAAGTGGTTGTCCCTGGTGTGTGCCTGGCATTGCTAACGTCTGTGAGCGACGGTATTCACTCGCCATTAAATGGAGATCTTCTTAGAAAAGTCAATAATAAACACCGTGCTCAACAGTGTGAGATAAAATATGGCTTGTATTCTTTCCTAGGGCTCAGACTATTTTCATACCAATTTTGTAAAAAATGGTTCAGTTGCCGGAGCGTGAAAGTGTAACAGACAGACAATATTAGTTTCGTAGCTCTAAATCTTAAATATTAACTGTAGGTATTATTTAAGGCCGTAAATGGTAAATGACAAATCGCTTGCTTCTCAAAGCAATAAATGAAGGAGGTTTGTGTATCTATATTGTAAATATTTTAGACAAAATAATTGATATAATAATTTAGAATAAAAAACAACAATGACAAAAAAAACTATTTTCGTACGCTTTCAAGGCTGGGCAAAGCTAGAGATAAATCTAGGAGGGTCTACCTATAAATCTAGGAAAAATAATATTTTCTGTATAACTTCTAACACTTAAAAGTATAAAAGTAAATGGAAAAAATCTAGTTGAGGGTAAATTTTTTGCAACATCAAATTCATTCCTGGCTGCCGGTGGTCGCTAAGCCCGTGCTCGCTCACCTGTCCTGGTGAAACTGGAAAGGCCTCCGGGCCACCAGTAGGTAATCTGCCTTCTTAAAAAAAAGAAACATCCGTATTGATGAAACAGCCTTCTTTGAAGTCGTAATGGCCTACATCATAAGTCGCCCGATACATTCGTATCGAGTGATCTCCGAGTCTGTGCCGGTGTCCGAATTCCACAAATAAGCACCAATTCTTGTATTGAAATAGTATGTAGGTACTTTATAAATGTTCATGAATAATTCTTCCACAATGAAGGAATAGCATCATTTAATAAAAATATAACCCGTAAAAATTATAATTTGCGTAATTGTTGGTGGTCGGGTGTAGTGTAAGCTTATTCGGGTACGCACTGCCACCCTGCATATTTCTGCCACGAAACAGTAGAATACTTCTGGTTTGAATGATGGGGCAGCCGTAAAACAAAGACTTAGAAATCATGTCTCAAGCTGGATGGCAGCAGTTAAGTCGTAGATGTTTTTGGGCTCCGATAATTAGTTAATACCGGGTCGACCGTGAGGTCGTCCACACAATTAAGCAATAAAAAAGTCTACATTATACTCAAATTTTCTCCGCGCTCCCCCGCATGACTCGGCTTAGTCTGGTTACATACAAGGCTCGAATGCGTCCTGTTGTTGCTAAAAGGGAATTTTAATCATTTTACCTACGACAAACCCTCCTACTACCTACCCCCAAAAACCTAGTTCAAAATCTTGCGATTTCCGATATTGTTTTCAGTTAAATGTTATAACTTCATTTTTATTGCAGTTTGAATTTGGAGGATGCTTACTCTAAGCCATAACATCATTTTTACAGCAAATACGTACCTCTTTTATTTATACGATCTAGGGCGTACTATGAATGTAAAACGCGAGAGTATCAAACTTACCGAACATGCATAATATTTAATCTGTTTAATACACCTATAACTCCCCTGTTATAGATATTTTATTAACATTTTCAAGGCGAGTTGTCTGACGCCCTAGTCACGCCCTTACGGATCCATCAGATCTAATAACCCTTGCATTAGACGCCTTTGGTTCTAACACTAGAAGCAGGCTTATGTACCCCGGTAACCGACTTGTCGAACTCGGCAAAGAGTTCGACGTGCAACCTAACCTAAACATCAGCCCGCTATGTTTTTCGCCGGATCTTCTCAACGGATCGCAATTCCGATCCGGTAGTTTAATCATTCGCAAAGCAGCTACTCTTGAGTTGTTAAGTCTCCTTTGGAGGCGCTCGGGTAGCTGTTAGCAAATCCCACCCCTCCTGGCCGAGTCCTTGCTCGCCCACCTGTTCTGGTGAAACTGGAAAGACTTCCGGACTACCAGTAATCCTTCAATCATAAATAAACGAGCTGTCTCTATAGTGCGTACTATATAAATTTATTCATTTATTAAACATATGTACCTACAAAGGAAGGGATGAGGGATGTAATGTGTAAGACATTATCTGTTAAAACGCTAACTTTAGATTATCAATCCATGTCACGAGAGTAACTTCGTTGTAAAAAATCCCTTACCATCTCTTATTATTCAATGTCACAAAAACGATTCTTGATCGCAATATGTGAAGTGATGTAAATGGTTTTGATTTGTTAAATTTGTATTTTTTCTGGTATAAGCGTGTAATCATGGTGGCTTGTTAACCTTTTTGTATATAGTGGAGCCCGAATGTAAAATATCTAAACATAATCGCTGGAATTAGCTTCTCGAATTCTTTCAACATCAACATTGATCTTTCATTAAATTCCATCCAATTCATCGAGAGTTCACTTCGTTTCGCCTCATTCAACACCTGCGGTATTGCTTTTTTTTTTCATTCAATACATATTCAGGCTTACAGTTAGCACCAAAACGCCTGACTCGCCAACAAAAAAAACATTATTGAAATTATTGAGTATTATTATAATATTATGCTAAAAATAACATTATTTTGGAAAAAAAGTATCTAGTAGATCTTATCTTCCCTCCCTCATTTCATTTTGTTCCAAGCAACAGACCTGGCTTCGGTCTTTTCTTAAAAAGCATTTGGCTGTATGGTCTACGTTACTTTTGCATGCTTGATGGAAGAATCAAACATAAATAATGTCTGTGGGAAGGAAAGGTACCGGTAAAATGGGGCGATTAGGGATTGAAAGGCGAATCGGGAAAAAACCGGGAAAATCTTTCGACGCTCAATATAAGTTTTATATTCGTTGCAAAATCTTCCATTTTTTTGTACTTTAATAGTAGAATGTTGAAAGTTCATAAAACAACTCTGAATATGCATGATAATAGCTGCTAACTTATAAAAAATCGCGTTTCAAATTAACTTCCTGTGGTGGTAATTATTTTAGTGCTAGAAACTTTGCTCTCTTTTATTTATTTGATAATAATAGAAGACGACTATGATTTATAAACGTTATTTAATGTTTGAACCANCGGACACGAATGAATAAACGCTAGACAGCACGGCCGTATTTATAGGACTTCGTACACGTCAGCGTGTTTACAAGTATTAGACACGTGAGCGTGTTTACAAGATTTTAAAGTATTGAAATTACAATAAAAGGGACTGTTTAACATCAATTTCTTATCACAGAGTAATTAGTTGATGATCAGTAGGTAAATAGTCATATTTGCGCCGACAAGCATTATATACATCAACAACTACCTTAAAATTGCTCATAAAGTTGGAATTTATCCCTAATCGCCCCATTTCACGGTACAACACTGAGTTAGCCTTGATTGAACACTGCTAAAAATGCTCAACCAATCACGAGGCTCCAAGCATACAGTGGAAAAATGTCGTCGCAATTGTTGATAATTTGCTAAATATTTTCATTTCAAATTATTTTAGTAAACGTAGGTACTGTAGTTTCTCTCCAAAATATAATTAGTAATCAATTATTGTTCTTATTTCACTCACAGAGGCAAAGGAAGTGACTTTCAGTACCTAGGTAAATACAATTTATCTCTAAATGACATTTTAACAATTGCAATATTTTTGTATTTGTAAATAAAAACAAAAATAACCTGGATATGAGTTGTTTTTATTACTTCTATATCACAAAGATAGTAGTAGCTCTTGACGTAACGCCTTCGTTTGTACAAAGTCATGAAGAATTATGTTCATATTAATTTATTAGTAAGTCGCAAAACTGTCATGACAAGGATAGGAAAGTGTAGTTTCTTCTTTTTTTTGAGCTTTGCAAATTTCTTTTCAGTTATGGGTGATGAAATGGATCCGTGCGAGTGCCTCTGGAATCATGAGCTGGCCATGCGCCGCTTAATCTCACTGGTAAAATGAAAATATTCTTTGACCTTGTATGTTATTTCTCCAAACTAGTGTTTATCCACGTCAACATAAAATTTGCTATACATAGTTACTCAATTTCAAATTACTATGGAAAAATAATAGTGATAAACAAAGTATTTTATAGAAATTTTAGACAATTATAGTAGTTTAGATAAAGATTCATTAAAAAAATAACTTGCAAAACTTAATGTTAATTTTGATATTTATTCCTATAGCTTTGATGACACACACCAACTGATTAATTATTAATTAATGGGTTTTTTTTTATAATCCATTATTCATTCATACAAATATATTTAGTAAAAAATAATAAGATTTCAATTTGAAACATATAATTAGAAATAACAATTAAAATCTGCTTTTGATGATCTTACAAAAGATACCAGATGATTGTAAAATAACAAAAATGTCAACAGTTTCAACTATGTACTAAATAATCTACTACATATTTTAGTAATGACAGTGATAACCTTCCACTAAGTGGAGCATAGATAAAACTTTGCAAGCGTTTTGTTCATTGTTTGTACATGTGATTGTAACTGCAAGTGATTATATTTTAAAATGGGCTTTACTACTTTCATCTATGGCAATATCCTCACTAATATTATACAAAAATTTTGTTTGTTTATCCTACTTTCAAGATGTAGTAACAGATTGATATGATTTTTAAAGTGATAGTATTAGATCAAGAGAGTTACATAGGCTACCTTTTATGCCAAAAAACATTACATTCCCTTGGGGAACTAAACTGAATTTTTTCCTTAAATGCACTGGCTAAGCCGCTTGTAACATTATACATAAAGTTTTATGTAATATTTGCTCATAGCCAGGAGTATAAAATTAGGTCATTACCTATAAAATTGCTGTTTAATATACAGAAAGATAGTCATTTTTATTATATATGCAAATCTTTATATGGAGTCACCTTACAGGAGCCAACAAACTCTCCAAAGGCATTTTGTACTCCCCCTCAGATATTGAAATTTTTACCTACCAAGAAATTGTCTAAATTTAGAAAATGTAGAAATCTGTTGGTGCAAGATTTGTCTATGATGGATGATGCAAAACTTCAAAAACTAGCTCTTGTAGCTTAAACGGTCTATTGCGCCTTACAAGGTCCAGCGTTGTCATGTGGGAGCAGCGGGGATGAGCAATTAACTAAGATTGGCTAGAGATTCTCAAGTTTCTCCATCAATGTGTCCAGTTTCTCATAGTATACATTTGCAGTAATACTGGTGCTATTTGGTAAGACGCTGTGATGAATCATACTGGCACTAGACCACCAAACAGTGACTGTGACTTTTAAGGAGTAAAATTTCCTGTGCACTTTGGTTTTTAGAATTGCCTGAGTGCTGACCTAAGTCTAAACAACAGGGTGGCCGATTTGATTATATAAAAAAGAAACCATTTTTAATAGCAAGTGACAGTGCACTTAAAAATCCCTCCGTTTCTTTGTCTGTTCTATTTGTCATGGCTTAACGCGTTTGTCGCCCTGGCGTTGGTTCAATTCGTGCGGAACTCACTGATCAAGTTTTTTTACATTGCCAATTTGACGCAAATGGACCAATATTGTTTTGATGCTGGCGTTGAAAGCAACTGCTAAATCAGCGATAGATTGACTATACTCACCTTCCACTATCGTCTTTAATAAGTCTTTGTTGACTTTAGTTTTCGGGCGACCGCGGAGTTCATTTTTTCGATCGAAATTTCCATGTCGGAAGCATTTAAACCATTAAAGAGTCGTGCGTTCGTTTGTAGTATTCACTCTGTGTGCTTAGTGCGAGTTTATTAACGTTCTCGATAGCGTAAAAGTTAACTCAAGTTTGTATGCAGTTTGAACAGCGCCGTTAGCGGCAAACGTAGGCAAACTTTTTTTTTATTGCCTTTGTAGGATGACGAGCGTACGGCCCACCTGATGGTAAGTGGTTACTGTCGCCCATGGACTTCAGCAATGCCAGGAGCAGAACCAAGCCGCTGCCTTCTGCTTAATACTCTCCACAAGCCTCGTTTGAAGAAGGACATGTCATAGCGCTCAGGAAACACCGTGGAGGGGAGCTCATTCCATAGCCGGATGGTACGTGGCAAAAAAGACCTCTGGAAACGCACTGTGGATGACCGCAGTGGCTCCAGGTATTATGGATGAACTCTACTCCGGTAGCGGGCGGTGCGATGGTAAAAACGAGACGTTGGTATCATCTCGAACAATTCCTCAGAGCACTCCCCATGGAACATGCGGTTCAAAACGTTCCAACTCCATAGCACACGGTATTATAAAACGGCAAATTCATAGGTATTATTATGCTAATATGTGGATGTAAATGTCGTGAACTCTTTTTTAGTGCTCATTGTTGACCTTGAGATCAATGATTCTGACTATGAATATACTATTTATTTTCTAAAAAATTATAATGCCTTAATATTGCTGAGAAATATATTATTGTGCTATCTCTTTGAAGACTCAAATATGCTAGTTTTCCAAACCCTTAGACCGATGCCAATTTTCCTAAAGCAAATATATACGATACCTAGAATACATTGATAAACAAATTCCATGTTGAAAAAAAAAACATGATTACTAGTGATAGGTGGAATATTGAAAGTATGAATAGGTACCACAATACCTATGTCTATATTAGATACCTTCAGCTCTAACACTAGGAGCAGGCTGAGGAACCCCGGTAACCGTACTCGTCGAACTCGACAAAGAGGTCGACGTGCAACTTAACCCATGCATCAGCCCGCTGAGTTTCTCGCCGGATCTTCTCAGTGGGTTGCGATTCCGATCCGGTAGTAGGATTCATTCGCGAAGCAATTGCTCTTGAGTTGTTAGGTCTCCTTCGGAGGCGCTCAGGCAGTTGTTAGCAAATCTCACCCCTCCTGGCTGAGCCTTTGCTCGCCCACCTGTCCTGGTGAAGCTGGAAAGGCCTCCGGGCAACCAGTAATCTTTCAATCATTAAAAAAAAAACCTATGTCTATAGGTTCCCGGAGCTTTCTCGGAATCACTCAATTCCAAGTGGCGAATTTGCTTTCACCCATCTGCAGTAGAAATATAAAAACAGCGGCTTGGCTCTGCCCCTTTTTTTTTTTTTTTTTTTTNGCCTACTGCTTAATACTCTCCACAAGCCTCGTTTGAAGAAGGACATGTCATAGCGCTCGGGAAACACCGTGGAGGGGAGCTCATTCCATAGCCGGATGGTACGTGGCAAAAAAGACCTCTGGAAACGCACTGTGGATGACCGCAGTGGCTCCAGGTAGTATGGATGAACTCTACTCCGGTAGCGGGCGGTGCGATGGTAAAAACGAGACGTTGGTATCATCTCGAACAATTCCTCAGAGCACTCCCCATGGAACATGCGGTTCAAAACGTTCCAACTCCATAGCACACGGTATTATAAAACGGCAACTTCATAGGTATTATTATGCTAACATGTGGATATAAATGTCGTGAACTCTTTTTTAGTGCTCATTGTTGACCTTGCGATCTATGATTCTGACTATGAATATACTATTTATTTTCTAAATAATTATAATGCCTTAATATTGCTGAGAAATATATTATTGTGTGTATCTCTTTGAAGACTCAAATATGCTAGTTTTCCAAACCCTTTTAGCGATTCGACTGTTATTTGTTACTCATTTTTTTATCTGTCACGTAAAATGTGTTCATATTTATTGCAGCTCCGTCAAGGCCAATCGTATTGCACGGAAAGCGAATGCCTCGAGCAATTACCAGGGCTTCCGCAGCCGGAGTCGGCTGGCAACAGCTTCATCATGATGTTCGTGATGATGGCATTTGCGTTAGCTATGTATATGATGCGCCCGCGACGCAACCAGATCCAAGATGCGGCCAAACCAGCGCACAATCCTCACGTAAGATTTTACATTGTTGAAAGTTCTTGACTAAGGCTGTCTTCTCCACTTCTTTCTGTCTACCTAAATGCTAGCCTAAGCTATTTCAGCTACGCTCTGACGGGTAGGTCAGCTCACGGGCTCAACCTCAGAGAATTGCTAACACGAACCCTAGCAAGAGCCGTGCTTCGCAAAATCTACCACCGGATCGGAATCGCGACCCACTGAGAAGATCTGGCGAGAAACTCATTGGATTAGGTCTTCATAAATGAAGGATGTAAATAGTGAATTGTCATGTCATTGTCAAACCGAAATCTGCTATGTGCACTTTTTGAGATTTTTACTTTTTGACCTTTTCGGATAGTTCACAGCCCTATCTGCCGTATAAAAAAAAACAGTTATTTGTCTATAGCTTTAATATTTATCTATAGCTTTCATTTGATATAGTTCTTAAAAATAAAATATAATACGAAAATGTTTTTACTCGTTAATTCAAAATAGAATTTTTGCACATAGCAGATTTTGGTTTGACAGCGACGATGTGCTGTATAGGAATACCGAGCAAATAAGTTGATTCAGTATCCTAGTGAAATTTTGAGTTTTGTGTCTTCGACGCGCGAAAACCAAAGATCTAGATTTCTTAATTCGAAAATTTGCCGGTAGATTGACAGCGGTCATCGAAATTGTGACAATGGGCCAAAAATTGGCCCTGATAGCCTTTGCAAGCGCCAATAAAAATTATTATTTTTTATATTGCGTAGCCAGGCAAAGAAGCTCACGGTCCGCCTCGTGTTAAGTAGTTACCGGAGCCCATATAGACATCACGGCTTGAACGCCGCCACTTAGCTTGAGACGTCAGCGGTCAGGCCTGTCTCAATGGTTTTAGTAATTAGAAAAATTTGTACCTGCCCACGGAATTTGAACAACATAGTCGCATTGCTTATTGATCGTAATTTATCTAACGTTTCGAACTGTTGTTATACAGGTACACATATAACAGTTAACTAGATTTTACATCACAGTGAACTCCGATACAAGCTGTTATTAAACATTTAATACGTAACTTTATAATCCCTGTACCGTTTCGATAGAATGCTCATTTATCTTTGATAAATGTACGATACTAATAAATTTATAGTTTTTAAAAGAAACCGTAAGAAAAAGCGATAGATCACATTTCCAATAGAAATAAATATTCAATATAAAACAAGGATTTATTTTACATTTTGCAACTATATGATTCCAATTATTGAAACTACTGCTATAATCATTACATACTATTGTTTTTGATATGGATTAGTTCGGAAAATGTTGCAATGTTGAAGTTTAGATAAACGATCACATAAATAACATGACTGTGTTATCTCTCGTTGGAAAATGCTAAGATATTCTAGCATTTTGATTGCACATATTGTAACAAATGCTATCTGTATTAAATTAAATTATTTTCATCGTTCCATAAAAAAAATATAATTGTCATCGTAGGTAAGAAATGCAGACAACGCTAGTTTTGAGGGACATATTATTATCTATAGCAAAGAATTCTAGCAACCGACCCAACGAATCTGTGGACCGAATGGTAAACAGTCGACGTCGCCCTAAGCACATCATTACGGATCCTTCCGATCCTTTAACAGTGCTTTTAGGTACCTCAAGCACCGGTCATCGTCCTCGCCGAACCCGTCGCTTGCGACGAAGGACTCTATGAGTAAATTAACCCATAGACACAGCCCACTGAGCTTCTCGCCGGATCTTATCAGTGGGTCGTGTTTCCGATCCGGTGCTAGATTCTGCGAAGCACGGCTCTTGCTAGGGCCAGTGTCAGCAACACTTCCGTTTGAGCCCCACGAACTCGCCTACGCGTCAACGCGAAGCTGAAATATCCCCTCAAGACTATCAGTATAAGTAGGGAACAAAAGCAACCGACGTATCTCAAAGTATTGTGTGGTTGACAGTCACTGTTAGTGGAGCATATAGCCCGTCAATTGACGGCCTATATGCAGCCAAGCTACAAAATATAGATTTCGTCTCAGCATTTTTTTTTCTCTGCCTATTTGCTGGTAGCCTAATAGGCTATTACAGCTACGCCCGGGCGGGTAGGTAAGCTCACGGGCTCAACCTGAAAGGATTTGCTAACACTAGCCCTAGCAAGAGTAGTGCTTCGCTGAATCTACCACCGGATCGGAATCGTGACGCACTCAGAAAATCCGGCGAGAAACTCAATGTGCTGTGTGTATCTATTGAGAAGACTTATTCTACATAACTTTGAACGTCACTTGTGCTCAAGAGTGCTCATATTCGCAGGCGTTCTTAGTGTAATGACATAGTAAACTGCATGGTCAATATAGGTAATGGCTTCCTGAGTATGTTAGTTATAAATTGGTAATATAATTTCGTGTAAGCTTTAATTGTTTGCTTGTCGGGTACATGAAAAACAAAACATGTTTTTTTAAATGATATTAATTAAATAGTGTTATAGATAGTTTGTTATCGCTAATGATGATGACCTATCGTGACGCTACATTTTTGTTCTGTTGTTAGAAATGCCGATTTTAAGAGCTATTGTCCAATTTACTGACAATACAGTTTTATTCTAGTGATCTTGAAATTGAGACCGTTCTTTATATGATGCTACCGAAACACGAATGTAAAAGGTTTTTCATTATTGCTTAAATGGGTGGACGACCTCGGATCCAGTCTGATGCTAAATGGTTACCGGAGCCCTTGGACAAAGACAATGTAAATGCCGCAACCCACTTTGATACATAGGTTCTAAGTCTGCCGCACCCTTTGAAAACCGATACTGCTTCACGGCAGAAATAGGGTGGTGGTACCTACCCGTGCGGATTAACAAGTCGTCCTATTACCAATACGCTGTAATGTTTTTTGTTTATCGTAAACGAAGCGTATTCTGAGTGTACACGAGCAGATATCGCTATTATTTCTGGCACGATTCATTTGTGTTTTCCGGTTTTAAAAGCGGTCAGTACAGCCGCTAATATGATACAATTGACACTTCGATGCTATGTCGCATGGCATTCATTTTGTGGTGACGATTCTCTGGTAACCATCCAAACAGATATAAATTATGATTGTGTTTCTACTTCTATGTTAACAATTTTTCCTAATAGTAGACATTTATAAGGATTATAAGGATAAACAAGTTTGTATTAAATTAATCCGCTCATCTACAGCGAAATAAATTTATACTAATTAATATTGTAAACGTGAAAGTGTCTTTGTTTGTCCTTTTTTCTTTTAAAGTGATAATTTTAGATCAGAATGAAAGCAGCTATAGGCTTTTCTTTTATACCGAAAAAACATCTCATTTCTATGGGGAAATGCACCGACATGCGTATCCTTGATAAGGCAAACGAAACCGAGGGCAACAGCTAGCTGTTTATATGTCTGTACGTGCATGGAAATATTTCCAAGAGGATGCTCGATAACACTGCTGTTTTCCTATTCCTTTGTTTATTAAAATGATTAATTATAATATGTATTACACAATGTTTCCTCTACTGTAATAATCGGTTTCAAAATATAAACTTTGATTTTTCTACGCGTTATAAGTGGCACGCGGTTTTGTGTGCGTTATTTGAAAATTAGTAAATTTATTTATTTATTTATGTACACACAAAAAAGAAGACATAGTACAGAGTAAAAGGAAAATTATGTACAAAGGCACTGCTTATTTCTTTAAGAAATCTCTTCCAGCAGACCTGCGAGAGGATTATGAGAATAATAATTAAAAGTAATGAGTGTGTGTAGAACAGCTAAAATAACAAATACAACAGATTTAATGTCACAGAGGAAGAGTAAATATTTAATACATTATAAAAGTGAAACAGCTGTTAACCATACAATAGATACGTCCACTTTGTGCCTCAATGTTGGTCACTGATGGTGGTGACACCATTCACGTCGATTCTCTGGGCTCGACTGAGCACTTAACATCAGCTAGGCCGAATGGTCGTACACATATTTTAAGACGAATACTTAATTAGCATGTTTTATCCATCGGGGGTCTGTGTAAGAGATCGTTCAAAAGAGAAACATTGGCGAAGTGCAATATTGTATGTTTTTTCTCCTTCAAGTAAGCTTTAACACGGAAATTTTATTTTACGACGACACGCTCAACGACCGTACTTATTTTCGATTAAAAAAATGTAGTATTCGTCATAAAAGAGATTTATTATGAAATTGAAAATAATAGAAAATGTACAGTTATATAGAGTACAATATGATCTGAGGGTCGTGGTATATTAATTGCCCGAGGTTCCAGTTAAAATGATCACTTTATAATTTAATTCGCCACCTGCCCTGGTAAAACTGGAAAGGCCTCCGGGATGCCAGTAACCTCTCATACATAAAAAATTTTTTTTACTAATATTGTCCGCATTTTCAATAAATAGGCAAATAACTAATAAATTTAATTTTCAAATAGGTATTACATTTTTATAATAAACTAAATATACGCATGGTATCTTTAGTTACATCTAACTTTAATTGGCTTTAAGTATTTAAATATAGTTTTTACTAAACTCTATGCTCATAGCCTTGAGAGGCTATTTCAGCTTCGCCCTAACATTGGTGAGCTCACGGGGTTCAAACCGGAGTGTTGCTAACACTGACTCTAGCAAAAGCAGTGCTTCGCAGAATTCGTCGTGGCTTAAAAGATAAGACGTCCGGTGCATTCGTATCTAGCTATGCACCGGTGTTCGAATCCCACAGGCGGGTACCAATTTTTCTAATGAAATATGTACTTAACAAATGTTCACGATTGGCTTCCACGGTGAAGGATTTTTTTTTATTGCCCTTGTAGGCAGACGATAATACGGCCCACCTGATGGTGAGTGGTTACCATCGCCTATGGACTTCAGCAATGCCAGGGGCAGAGCCAAGCCGCTGCCTACCGCTAATGACATCGTGTAATAAAAATCAAACTCGCAAAATTATAATTTGCGTAATTACTGGTGGTAGGACCTCTTGTGAGTCCGCGCGGGTAGGTACCACCACCCTGCCTATTTCTGCCGTGAAGCAGTAATGCGTTTCGGCTTGAAGGGTGGGGCAGCCGTTGTAACTATACCGAGACCTTAGACCTTATATCTCAAGGTGGGTGGCGCATTTGCGTTGTAAATGTCTATGGGCTCCAGTAACCACTTAACACCAGGTGGGCTGTGAGCTCGTCCACTCACGTATGCAATAAATAAAAAAACTACCACCGGATCGAAAGCGCGACCCACTGAGAATATCCGGGAGAAACACAGTGGGCTGTGTCTGTGGGTTAATTTACTCGCCAAGCCCTTCGTTGCAAGCGACGGGTTCGATGAGGACGGTGACCGGTGCTTATGGTACCTAAGAGCACCGTTAATAGGTCGGCTTTTGGCAGCTCTGCCACTCTATAGCTGCGCCCCAGATTTGATGGAAATCATCAGAAATTTATATAATTTACATTGTTAATGTGTAAAATTAACATTCGTCATTTGTGACAGATATTTTGATGTGTCTAGTAAATTGGTTTTTATTCTTCACTTTATAATATACACTGAAACATAAACGAACGTTACCTTACGTTATTAAAGACACTGCAGATTCTTTGACATAACTGAATTAACGCACCAAAAAATACCAACGCCTATTTGTATTTTGTTCAGAACTATTAATGACTGTTCTAATATTTTAGGACAATGCAGCCAATGGAGTGTTGTCATTATTTCATTCGGAAAATCTGTGTATGAATAACATACACTAATTCTCATGCCCTCGTTAAGAGTCGTAGTAAAGGGTAGTGCAATAATGAAATTAAAATAACCTTTCTACTGGTTTGTGCAAATTAATTTAATTTAAAGCACGTGCAAATTTTTATCATAAAATTAAATGTGAGTAAATAAAACCTCACGCAAAATATGTCGATGTGGTCTAAAGGAATAAGACCAGTATGGAAGTGCCCTTGTTCAAATCCCGCAAACGGGTGCTCGCTTTGTCCCTTCCCTCTCTCGAGTAGAGTACTTCGTGAGACGTCTATATATTTTCTCACTCTCGTTCTTCCTAAATTGTATCTTTTCTCTCTAGCCGTAATGAATCTGTTGCGAGTTATGCCGAGTTTACATTACGAAATTAGTGTCATGCATGTTGAGCTAAGTTTCACGAAAGTAGTTTCGATATATGCGAAAGTAATTTCGTTAAAAAATTAGTGTCGCGAAATCCACAGTATCGCAGTAACCATGGCGCCTTCAGCATCAAAGCTATAATTTGCTATATTCAATGTAGCTAAAGAAATGCTTATATACCTATAAACTTAAAAAAAGACTATCAAGAAAAAAAAAGTTGGTAGATTCGAGGATGGTCAACAAGAAGGCATTTAGGTGCAATGAAGTCTCTAAATTAGCAGATGAAGATCCTGAGAGTTATAAAAACTATTTTCGAATGAGTGAAGATAATTTTGATTTTTTACTATAGGTGTTTCGGGACCCTTGTCATTGATATTCATTAATAAGATCTATATTTTTTTCTGTACTCCATCATTGGTTTGCCATTTTCAACGCTCGAAGCGCGTCCGAACTAACAATACACACGTCCGCANCCTTGTCATTGATATTCATTAATAAGATCTATATTTTTTTCTGTACTCCATCATTGGTTTGCCATTTTCAACGCTCGAAGCGCGTCCGAACTAACAATACACACGTCCGCACAGCGCAGGCCCTTTCGCGACATTAGTTTCACGTCGCGTCTACACTATGAAATTAGTTGCATGACACTAATTTCACCAAAAAATCGCGCAGGGCACAAAACTAATTTACATGCATGAAATTAATGCATGCATTACGAAAGTACTAAATTACACGTGAAACTGTTGGTAAAACTAATGTCACGAAATTAATTTCACGCCACTAATTTCGTAATGTAAATTCGGCTTTAATTTTACTCTCAACGCGCCTCAAGAATTTTCACTCCAATAACTATACCCGCAAAATTATAATATTCGTAATTACTTTTAGTATGGTATTATATCTTATGAGTATCGCCCGAGTAGGCATCACCGCCCGGCCTATTTCTGCCGTAGTGCATTTGAAACGTAAGACATTAGTTTTACATTAGTAGGCAGCGGTCATTACGGATCCTCCCGATCTATTAACAGTGCTTTTAGGTACCTCAAGCACCGGTCACCGTCCTCGCCGAACCCCTCGCTTGCGACGAAGGGCTCCACGAGTAAATAAACCCATAAAACACAGCCCACTGAGTTTCTCGTCGGATCTTCTCAGTGGGTCACGTTTCCGATCCGGTGCGAAGCACTGCTCTTGCTAGGGCCAGTGTTAGCAACACTCCCGGCTTAAGCCCCGTGAGCTCACCTACACGTCAGGGCGAAGCTGAAATAGCCTCTCAAGGCTATCAGCATAGAAAAAAAAAGGCAAGTTTGATTAGAAAAATTGTCACCACAGTCGCTTCATGGATCTCGCTAATATCAGACGTTCGTATGACGAAATAAAGCTAGTTACAAGAGCGCCCCTTTTATTTTATTATGTTTCGCCCCTTTTGCCTACAAGGGCAATAAAAAAAATGTAGTATACAAATTCTACTGGCTAACAAATAAGATATTTTTTTTATTATTTCAGGACCGTGACGGTGCTCCCCCTACACCTCCAAGAATTTAATCAACACTTGCCGAGGCGACTTGTTCATCCCGAGTGGTCGTTGCCACCTTTGAATTCCAGTTATTTGTATTATAAACACAGAGTTGTGATACAACACAGACTCGACGTGTATTAACGTAAGCTCTTGAGTGTCCTATCTACACATAAATGATTTTCATTAAGTGATTTGTGATATAACAAAGATCGTCATTTCAGAACATGTATAGAATTAATTTTCCGTTTACAGTGTAGTCACTTCATTATTTCAAGATTTTCCATTATGAGATGTTAAAATCAATTAATAAAGGTTTAGATTTCAAAAAAAAAACCAAACATATTTATATGTAACGGGAATTCAAATAATAGTGCAATATTCGAATATCGTGAAAATAATTCAAAATAAATGATCTGATGTAGATTTTTAAGGAAATTTAAATGAAGTAGGTATCTACCGTCTTTTTGTTTTTAGAAATTTAAACATGGCGATTCCAAATAAATATTAAATTATTACGAGAGAAATATGATTTCTCTCTCTAGCTCACAGATTTTATTTGGAATGTAGCAAACGCACGTATACTTTGTTAACGTTAGTTTTGAGTAATGAAACGAGATTATATAGCTTAGTATCAGTTAACCAAACATATCAACATCTCTGTGTAATAAAAAAAGTGCTGGTACTTGGCAAATGCTTATTATCCTTTATTTTCATAATCAATTAAATATGGGTGTTGTCACAAATCATTAGATTCCATTACATCCACTTAATGTGTTCCAAAGGTATTTATTTACCTATTTACTAAATAGAGCGACCTTTGTCCATATTTATGTGAAAGTGGTGGAACAAGTTATTTTCAACCATCTGAATGTTATATATTAACGATACTGCTATATTCCATTAGTTTTAATTCAATTATTTCTTCGGGTTGGGCAACTGTTTATGTATGTACTCATATCATAAAACAATTAAGATTTATTTACATATTTACCATGTGCAGACAAATAAATATTAATGACATTAAAAACTGTGTTTGTTTGGAGACGTTTTCTGTTTCTGTACCCTTTTTTATAGGTTTGTCTGTCTTCCTGGATGAATGGTTTTCTTCATACTAATTAACGAATATAAATTATCTAAAATAATTAGCTAAGTTACTAATAGCTAGCGTTGTAGCTAAGAAATTCGACAAAAGATACTGGTAAAGACTGAAGAAAATGCACGTAACATTAACATAAAATTTGATTTCGCTTATCCCGGTATGATTGTCAAATATTACTTAAAGTATCAAAATTAGGAAAATAGCTCACAATAATCATTAGAAGAAATTTGTGCAATTTATGTGAACAAAATGTATTTTTACGATTGTAATTTTAGTAACTAAATATTTGACATTTTGATACGTGTATAGGAAGCATGACTTTATATTTATTATTATTGTAAAAATGTGATTACCTATATAATTCGATGGGCACCTACCTCATCTTAACTAGATAGAATTTAGCCTGGGTTTTAAACATAAAAAGGAAAACATTAAACATTTTAATATTGCACCCATAACAACTTGATAAAATATTGAAAGAATGACCTTTTTTTTGCTGGAATCCGATGCCCAGTCGAGGGAAGAATAACTTAACTACTAAACCTAATATAGATTTATTGAGAATCCTTTTTTCATAAATGGTTAACGAACTCATGGCCCATCTGGGGTTAAGTGATTACCGGAGCCCATAGACATCTACAATATAAATGCCGCCACCCTCAAGAGTTCTAAGGTCTGTTTTTATAGCACAGCATAACGGCTGCCCCGCTCTTCAAACTTAAGCGCATTACTGCTTTACGGGTGAAATAGGCAGGGTGATATTTCCTACCCGTGCGGACTCACAAGACATCGTAACCACCAGTAATTACGCAAATTACAATTTTGCGGGTTTGATTTTTATTACACGATGTTATTCCTTCACCGTCGAAGTCAATCCTGAACATTTGTTAAGTACGTAATTTATTAGATAAACTGGTACCCGCCTGCGGGATTCGAACACCGTTGTATCGCTTGATACGTCTGCACCGGGCATCTTATCCTTTAGGCCACGACGACAACATATCTGTGTGGCCTCTGAAAGGGCTATTTTTTTTTTTTTTTTTTTTTTTTTTTGCAATAATTGGGATATAAACAAGCACAACACAAGACACGTGTAAAAATTTATTAGGTACTAGAAATTAAAACTGTTTAAAAGTATGTATGTACATATATTAACATTAACAGTTTCATTCCATGATTTAAAAATATTGTACTTTGTACAAGAGCACTAGATAGTCAAAATGAAACATCAATATGAATTGATATTTGGTTAATAGCTTTAATAAGACTTGCGTCGGCTAAGTAGGCCGCGGACTAAGTGTACCCCTGACATTGCCATGTCCACGAACAATAATGGTGAGTGCTGTATTCTTGTCTATCTATAAAGGTAATAAAATTAACAATACTAGGGCAAATATGAAAGATTTTTAGTGTCATGTTTTAATATTGTATATAAAATCTTAATTTATTTAGCAATCCAAAGTCAAATGTTATATTAATATTAATATGTTTTACCTAGAAAAAATAAATTTTAGAATATTGTTGTACTTAAAGAGCCCAAAATCTTTGAACGGAACTACTATCTGCGACACAAATTAGAATAACCGAGAACATTCTGGATACAAACAAAATGACAGTCTTCTTGAATTTCGAACTTTCAAGGTAATTAATGAGCCGCACAAATGTTTATAAAACCCTTTATCTAATTATACCACATACTTATTGTAATCTAAATGAAACTCATTCTTCTTTGCCCCTGTAGGACCCCATAAGGACACGAACAAAAATAAAAATTAAACGCTTTAAAATACAACAGTTCGTCACTTGATGACCCACATTTATTTCAATGCGGAAATAGTGGATCATGAATCTTGTATCCTGTCAACTTCGTCTTTAACTTTCTTGAGCAGGGTGGTCATTTTTTTATAATTTCCCGTCGAATTTGGCAGGTTTTCGAAATATAAAACGTCACAGATGTCTTTGGCGAATTTGGTCCCGCTCGGTAGCTTGCGGTAAGGAGACGCGATGTTGAGGACCGGAGTGCCGTAGTCCGTGGTCTTCACTCGACCTGTTTGCTGTGCGTCTGGTGTTTTCAATACATCGGTGTCACTACCAGCTGTAGTAGTCGGCGTTTCGTCATTACTGCTACAAGTTGTGTCGCGTTTGGGAGTGAGGATTTGATCTCTGTTGTCCTCTGAACGCGCTTGCTCTTTCTCGACGACCTCTCTAGCCGGTCGCGGTGTCAATGATGATTTCTCATCGCTTAATACTGAGTTCGGTGTTGGAACTCTCCCGGCATCATTGTTAGATGTTACATTTTCAACAGCGATGACTTCTTTCTCCTTATTTTCTGCGTCGATTCCATTATTACTTTCATTCTGAATTTCTACGTCTTGTGCAGCTTCCTCATTTGCAACTTCATTTTCATTTTCAATGACCTCTAATAATAACTTCTTCTTTGCTTCTAGATCTTCGATACTCGGACTATAGCGGCCATTAGAAGTATTCGATATTTCCTGGAAAGTAATAAACTGTTTAAATATTGTAAGTGATACAGGCAAGCACTGGACAAGATTACAGACGCAACAACAACAAGCGTAGCGCAGTGCCACCAAAATGTCTCGACGGATATGAATTAGGAATTCAATCATTATATTCAGAAAATATGTTTTTATTTTTAATCGCGAAAGAAATGCTTATTAAAGCGGCAACACTTTCTTTACTGGCAACATAAATCAGTAGACAATTTAGGATCATTGATTATCTGTGTTCGGTAGGTGCGCCTCTTCGTTGTAGTTTTCGTACACAGAATTGATGTCCATAGATATTCGGAAATATTGGATTGAAGAACGCATCGTTGTGTTCGGGTCGGTGAGATACGTGGGTCGCACCGTCACATCGTCACCTACCCACGTGCACAATGAATGACTCGTTCACTCCATAACTGCTCATTCAATTGCAAATGTCATCATAAAAAGTTTGGACATCTGCAATAGAATTTTATAATTCCACATCTTATGGAAATCGTGATAAATCGACAACATATTCGAAATAAAGACATATTTCATAATATGTAATTTTAATGTTTGTAACTATGTGCACTATAATTTAAGATTTAAATTAGAAGTTAAAATTTTAAACAAACATTTAAAATTAAATTTATTTATTTATTTCCATTAATACTCATTAGACGAGCCCGTAAACATCGCTAAGTGATTGTCGCCACTCACATTGAGACAAGAGGTAATACCAATAGTTATATTTATAACTACCTACTATATTTATAACCAATTATACTTATACTTTTTTACCACGCTACCCGCCAGATGCCTTAAAAGGCCATTTTAGCTTTACCTTGGTTCATGGGCGAGCTCACGGGGTTGAGAGAATTTATTAACACCAGCCTTAACAAGAGCAGTGCTTCGCAGAATCTACCACCGGATTGGAAACCCAACCATTAAGAAAATCCGGTGAAAAACTCAGTGGGTACTATTTATCACTTACTGATTGAGGTTGACATTTCAAGAACCACCAGTCTAATAGGGCGGTAGATGGTCAAATGTTTTCAGAGGTCGTTACGCCCACACGACTGCTGGTTTTTTATTGCCTCACATTGATAGTAATGCAAAACGGCGATTTTATATAGTTTTTGCAAATTTATAACATTGTTTCTGTTTTTTTATAACAATAACTTGAACCCTTAATGTTCCACTTAAACCTAGTATAACTCAAATTAATTCTAAAACATTTAGAGCCGGTAGGTACAGTAATAGTCTAATCGCTGACAATATGTATTTTTATACACACTTTTTAAGTTCGACATTGATTTTTATTTATTTTTTTGTCCTCATCTATATATTAATATGTGAAGCAAAAACTTTGTACCCCTTTTAACGAAAATTGCGCGGACAGAGGGATAGGGAATTTCTCACACTTATACAAAATATAGAGAAGGAGTGCAGAATGCTAATATTTTTATTAAATAACACCTAAAATTACATTAAACCAATAAAGAAAACATTACACACACTAACATGCATTTGACACACACACGGATATATACTATTTTGTTTATTGTTAAAGTGGTCAAGTTGAGAATAGATTAATATTGATATCTTTAATATTACTAGAGGTTCTGCAGTAGTCGAAATTCGACTATAATTAATTGGATTTGTAAGTGTATAGACTATTATGATTATATTTTCAACGCCCAGACTACACTATAGAAAAATATTAATAAAGACAAACAATATTTAATCTATTCTCAATTTGACCACAGACGTCAAGAACAAAAGTTTGACAATAAATAAATAGTATGCATGCGTGTGTGTGTCAAATACATGGTAGTGTGTGTAATGTTTTCTTTATTGATTTATTGTATCTTTTATGCATTATTTAAAAAAAATATTAGCATTATGCACTTCTACTCTATATTCTCTATAAGTGTGAAAAATTTCATACTCCTCCGTCCGCGCAATTTTCGTAAAAAGGGATACAAAGTTTTTGCTTCACGTATTAATATATAGATTTGTCTATAGTGTAGCCTTAGCGAAATCTCTGATTATAGATGTAAAGTCTTTGACGATAGAACCATGATACTGTTCAAGCTTATAATTTCGATTAATAATTAGGTATAGTCGAATTTCGACTACCGGGCTACCACTAGTAGTAATAAAACGGATATCATAATGCTTTCGGTAGTTTAAATTTTCATTTATAATGCATTAAGATATATATAGTTTATTAAAGGATAATCATAAAAAGTTACTCACTTGTCCCTATTCACCCTGGCATGGGGGTGAATCGGGTTACGTATAGGGACAATAAAGTTTTTCGATAGAGCTGGCACTATTTAGTTGGTAAGTCGGTACCTTACTTTATGTACCTAATCAACTTTTTAACATCTTTAATGAGTTAGAAAACTATGATGACTAAATTAAACTATTTAATATATTTTCAGTTTAGC